TTTTGATTTTGCATACTGTCTTGAGCTTTCACCACATATTTGAGTCCATTTGATCTTCTATGTTTTATAATTCAAGAAGTTTCATACTAAGCTATGACACTTTTTGGACCAACATCAACCACCACCACCACCACCACCACTACCACTATTAGTTGTGATTGATGATTAATAAAAGTATGAAATAGACAACATTTTGGAGCATCGCTATCTTTGTCATAGCAATGCACGTCTACAACTTTAATACAAAGTCCTTTGAAAAGGTTATCCCATTTACAATGAAACATAGAAACTTGCATAGAACCTCACTTATTTTCAAGAAATAATTTGGACATATCATTGGCAGCAAAACAAAGACATGTCACATTAGTCGAGGGAGATTAACTATAATGGGGTATGAATAAGATATTTGTATTGTTGATGCATAGAGATAGGTAGTTAGAGCCATGTTTTAGAAGTTTCTAGAATTGGAGCTAAGTTGGTGGTTTATAAAGATCTACCATAGAACATTCTAAAAAGGAATAAGGGCAGTTATCTAGGTAAGGCTTATCATTAAGAACATTCTAAAAATTTCCAAGATGGTTAAAAGAAGTATAAATAGGACTTACTAAGGCCATTTAGGTATCCAATTAATTATGACTTTGATTCCATTCTCTTAGTAAAGTTTGGTTTTGTATCTTTCTTTTCAATTTTGTTTTATTTTTTTAGTTTTTTTTTATCTTTTATATTCCATTTTGTTTAATTCTATTTAATTTTATTTTGGTTTATATTATCCTATGTTGTGATAAGATTTATATTGCTATAGATTGAAAGAATCTTAAATCTTAGAGATAATCCAATCCTATTTCAAAAACTCTCATATTCTTTAATGTAACTTTTTAATTGACATCAAAATTTTAAAACACATTTAAGACAAGTACAATAATAAATTCACAAAATTTTACTTATAAATTTGCTACAATATTTACAAATTATTCAAATATATATGCCTCTGTTTATTTTTCAAACTCTCAAACCTTTGAATATATCTCTTTCTTTGAAAAGCTTTGAAAAGCTTAATAAGCATCCAAAGCACCTCAATCTAATGCCTTAATAATTCTTTTAAAGTCTTCTTTCTAATTATTTTCTTTGATTAACAAAAGAACTCTAAAATTGTTGTAGGTATGTAGTTTATATCTTGGGATCAAATTTTGATCTTGATTCATAACTCGGTCTTATTTGGATATCAAATCTTAATATCTTGAGGTAATTTTTCTAAATATATTTTCAACTCTTTCTTAAAAATTCCTATATTATTTAATTTCTTAATCTACTTTGTTTTACAAAGTAAGTAGATGTATTTTTTCATAGAAAGACAATATTAGTATTAAAAATTTTACTACTTTCTTATCTTTTATCTATGTTTTATTATTAAATCTTTCTACTAGGCTCTTCTATAATAAAATCCATATTTTTATCTTTCACCATTTTATCATATTACAACATAACAATGTATATAGATATAAACAAAAGAAGGAAGATGTATTCTCTATGGTGAGTTGATAGGTTTTTTTTGTGGAAGAGTTGAAGAATTCTATTTTTTTTAAGAGTAAGGATTAAACACCATTTCTTCTCACTAGGTAAAAAAAGAGATTATGTATAATTTCAAATAGGACAATAGTCCCTGTGTATGCTATTTTGGAGTTGAGAAGTTTGATTTGTTTTAGATGTATGCAAGAAGACACTTTATCCATCTAAGAAGTTACAAATGTTTAGTTCCATATGATGCAATAACAATATTAAAAATAAAATATGAATATGAGATATATATTAAAATAAAATAAAAAATAATTATTATTTTTTATAATATCTAAATATAATTTTTTAAATTTTTTTGTGAAATAATTTAGTGTTATATGTTATATTATATTCTAATAAAAACTTGCTATAAACAACAATATGGTTTCTATCTATGACATAATCTACATTAATGCCACAATATATTGTTTATAGCATCAAAATTTTGATGCTTCTTTAATACTCATACCAATAATTATTTTTTAGTAATTGAATAATAATCCATCAATATCTTCTTAACACCAAAAAAAATTCTAAAAGATTTAGTTACAAGAAAGTAAGAAAGAGTATATTCATATAAATATAAGTATATATATAGTTATATATATTTTATTTTAGGCATAATTGACATGATTTTTGAATGCATTATTTATTAAGCCTTTTTGCATAAATTTTGCTAAGATTTTTTTTTTTTGACATGTCAATTGTTACAAAAATCAAAAAACTTACTCCAATACAAATCTTAATTTGAAGTTTATGCATTGATTTCTTAAGATATAGAGCCAAATTTTTATATTTTTAGTAAGATGGTAAATAAAAATACATCTTATTATGAATAAAACATACTCCAATTTGTTTTCTTTAATCTATTTGTTTGCATATAAATATTTCTAATACATTGTATTCTAGTAGAATATATATTAAGTTTCTAGAATTAATATATATACAAAAAAAGATCAATATTATAATTTCTATTAGAAAATATAATACTATTGCTTTAAGTAACTTTAGAGGAAAAAAATCTAATTATCTCAAAAATATACTCTATATACTTGCACCAATACAATTATTCATAATATTAATCTAATTTGTAGGTTAAATATCTTTGATATGATATGCTGATGCTTTAATTATTTATTTATTATTGAATTATGATCATTTAAATATTTAATAAGTTGAAAGAATTTATTTGTAAACTGATTGCATCAAAATATTTAAAAATATAAATTTTTTTTTATCATTTACTATTATTTTCATTATAAATTTTAATAAAATTTAATTATTATATTTATTAATTACAATAAATATAATTATTTATCATAAAAATATTAAATATAAATTGATACTAAAAAATTATTTAAATTTAATAAAATACTAATGGTTGGCCAGTATAAATTTCTAATTTCAAACTTACTATTAAACAGTTTTGTATCTATGTAAGTAGATATATTGTCATTAATAAAAAAAAAAAATTAAAATTGAATCTATTACCGAAATATTCTAAGCTATCATTCATGATACTTCACCAATTTAGCATCACCTCATCTTTATAGATTTGGTAGTGACTTATTAATATTAAAACCAAAAGGTGCATACAAAAAGAAAATATGTAATAGAAAATTATAAGTGGAAATAGATTTAAGTGAAATAGTAGAGTATAGCAAGCTTTGTACATTATAGAACATTCTAAGTACTTACCTTAGATTTATTATATTGACAAGCATTGAAAACATATCAAATGCATAAATATTGAATAGGATATATAAAGCCAAGAAGAAGAGAAACAAACTCAAAAGAGAGTCAATAGATTGAGACATGAAAATTAATAGAAAAAATAAAAAAAACAAAAAATTACATGTTAAGGTTGATTGCATGACTCTTGTATATTGAGGCTAGTCTAAAAACTTCACTTTATCCACCAAGGGTAGCCTACAAGACTCTATAGACTTAAGAATTTGATTATTATAAGAAGTGGGGTCTAAATAAATTATATTTTAAGGCACAAAAAAATTAAGTGGAATTGCATCCAATAAATAGAAGATTTTTCCAAATTATTATTGTAAATATTGCTATTGAGTTGATGTCATTTGAACCTTCACTATTACAAAAATAAAATAAACCAAATGATATTTCAAATTTCAAAAAATATCTATAGTAATCAAAAAAATCATTCATTCAATATTTTATTAATATTCTTTTTTTAATAATCATCTTACTTTTTAGTCTATGTGTTCATATTTTTGTCAATGAAATAAGTTACTATTGAAAACCATTCTAAATTTTAATGTATGTATTTATATTTTTGCCAAAAAAACAAAAATAATTAAAAATTATCTTTTTTTTAGTGTGTAGGTTTATATCTTTGTCAATATAGAAGACAACTATCTTGTTTTTTAGTGTATATATTCATATATTTATCACTAAATGAAAGATGTTTTTAACAACCATTTTATTTTTTGATGTATAAGTTCATATCTTTGTTACTAAATAAGAGTTGTTGTTTACAACCATATGTATGTTAATATCTTTATAATTAAGTAAGAATTTTTGTCTATGATTATCCTTCTTTTTATTGTATAGCTTTGTAACTTTATCAATAAATAATAGTTATAATTATTGCTGATATTTTTATTGTTATTATTATTGTTGTTGTTTTTTTATTATTTTTTTCTTAAAATTATCAAGATTCTACAAGTATTGAGTTTAATTTAAAATCCTTTTTTGCCATTTCAATTTTTCATGGATTTTATAAAAGAAAATTTCAACAAAACATTGCTTTGTTATAGATTTACTAAAATTTTAAATATAACATTATAAGAAATATTTTATTGATAGTAAAAATTACAAGTAAAATAAAATTTATCAACAATTATTTTTTTATTTGCAAATTTATTGATTTTAGATTGTTATATTTTTTTATTTTTTATTTTTTGTAGAGTATCTCTCTCTCTCTCTCTCTCTCTCTCTATATATATATATATATATATATATATCCATGTATATATTACTTTTTTTTACTCAAATTATGGCTTTAAATAAGAAGTATGTCCTAATCTTATAACTTTATATTAACTCAAAAAATACTAAGATAAAAGTATAGTACGGAAATTTAAAATTAAAAAATATATATATATATATATATATATATACTTTACATTTATAATGAACATTGAATCTTGGGTAACTTATAAAATGTGATCATCTTACATATTTCTTAATGCTATCACATGTGCAAAAATGATGATGAATATGTATTTATTTTCAACCAAGAAATAAATTAATTTGCAAAATGACTCAATCACCATTGTGTGGTATCTTTAACACTTCATTGACCAATCTTAGATCACACATGCTGACATGCACACCCAATGTGTGCAAAACAAAATCTTAACCTCTAAACTTTCTAGTATTTTTGGCAAAGGTACCTGAATACTGATTGCAAAATCTTGAATCTAGAAAATGGTTTCCCACTTAATGAAATTAAAAAACCATGAGGTGGAAACATGTGCAACAACAAGACTCACAGCAATCTGATGGTAAAAGCTAAGGGCTCATCAACATCGAGATTGCATCAATCCCTACTTGGATGCTCAAAGTTTTTGTATCTACAAAACCTGAGCCAAAATCTTTAGAGGGAGAATCCTTAGGGATACAAAGAACCTTTAACTGAATCAGTTTGCAGCTACGTTGTCTAACTGCATGCTTCCACACCAGGACTAGGCACTAACTACTGAAGGAATCTCTAGAGTTTTTTGAATCTGCTACTGGAGTTAGATATCTACATCTGAGACCTCCTGACTCCCATCATTATTACTGTCTCGACCCGAGAGCAAAGATTGTGAGCTCTTGAGCAAAATGCAGCAGATAATTCTAGTGCCTCGCTTATTGCTCCTCCAATATTGCTCCAGAGTGATTGAACCCGCAAGATATTTGAATAGCCTTCATGTTCTTCGACTTAACTTGTGTAGGCTCCAAAAAATCATTCTCGTTGCCAAGTCCCTGCAAAACACCACCATCCATCAATACAATTCAGGAGGTTCAAAATCAGTCTGCTCCCTTCCTACTCTCCACTCATGCTGGGCATAGAGTCAACTAACAAGATTTGCGGTCCAGAAATTGGCCGATAAAATTCCATCTGCATTCTTTAGGTATTTACCTCATGGACTTCGTCTACTTTCATAGTCTGAACTGCACATTTTCGTACAATCATAATAGGTATAAAACTACTTCAGTACAAGTGTAGAAAGTTATAAGCATTAGATAGTACGCTCCGCAAGGTATTAGAGTCTGACCAATTGTCCACCAGACGAAAGACCATCTACTCCATGTGTGCCTTGCGAGCCTCCCCAACCCCAGGCGAATACATCTCCATCAACTGTCACAGATACGACGACATATCATGTGCCTACCTGCGCTAGAAGCAGTTCGATTTGCAAGACATGAATATCATAGCAATTAAAGCACAACAGCCTAGTACCACGAAGGGATTCAGGAAGTACCTGTGAGAGCCATCGTATGTTTCCATCCACATTGAACCTACACAATCATCGAGGGAAAGCAAGGTGCGTCAATATCAACATACTGATCGGTTGTTAGAACAGAAGAACATTGTGCATTTGTTAGATACACGTCTGAATATAATAGCTTACCTGTGTCACTCTCAGTGATTCCAAGGCACCCTCCACAAGCATAGGCAACGAAGTTGCATTTTGATGCTTGTACCTGTTGAACATTGCAACCATTCGCAACAGAAATTTCTCAATTATGCATATAAAGTAAGCCATGATAGATCGTTGCATAAGCTCCGACTAATGTCACTCGACCTACGGAATAGACCCATCACTAGAAACAAATAGATTTTCATGTTATGCAACTATGAGAATTGTGTAGGACAGCTGCAATAGAAATTCTTTCATCCAACACCAAGGCCTTCTATCCTTAAAAAAATCATTATTAAATCAATTGCTATCTACATTAAGCACATAATGCTTTCGTAGGCGTAGTAGCTTGAGTAATTCAATTTATTAACGTGGACATTGACAATGAACCCCTGATTTCAACAAAAACTATTGTCTGAAGAATGAAGAGAAATGGCTAACCCAAAACCAAGACAACCATACTCGTTGGAACCCCACATGTACAGCTGACCGTTTCCTGTGACAATGGATACATAGACATGTAAGAATCGAAATCCAAATTTGGTTCATTTGTTATGCATTTGTCGAGATTATGAAAACTCAGAATTCTAAGATGTTTCCTTCCGACAAGTTACGTCCTGAATCGGCGGCGTAACGCAGAGGATAATTCCAACATACGTTTACACCAATAGAATTCTTTCTAGAAGTCAAGGTTCAATACATGCGAGAGGTTAAGCAAGACTGATAGTACCAAATTGATTCAGAATTCTATATTACGTTTAGCATCCAGATGGTCACTAAATAGATAGAAAAAGGCACGAGGAAGAAATTACACACGAGAGATTGCACCAGTGTGATAGCCTCCACAAGCTATCTCCTCCACTGGGGGAATGACCGGTACTCGCTTCGGCTCAGAAATGTCTCTATCACCACCTAAACCCTGCAAACTCCACCGTTAAAAAATATATAAAAAAAAAAAAAAAAAAAAGAAAAGAGAAACATCCTTCAAATGAATACCAAGAATTAATTCACATGAACAATGAAAGGAATCATATAAATCACATTAATAGATGAAAGAAATAGATCAGTCTTACCAGTTGGCATTCTCGACCTTTACCAAACGTGAATAGTGATCCTTGCTCTGTTTCACATCCAATGTTTATCAACAAAATTTGGAGTTTCATTCACCAATTGACACTCAAATCGTGATAAACCAAATTTCTTAGAGCAGATAGACTCTGCTACCTAAACCTAATCACATGAGTCAAGATTTTGAAGTAAAACATGTCTAATTGCAGATATTATTTAGACGATTGAATCTTGGTGCAAATCTACATAGCATAGGCAGAGAGAGAGGTCCCAAACCATCCAGGCAGGCAGAGTGAGTCAGTCCAGCTGCAACTTTCGACACCTGACAAAGAACATATCACTAAATTAAGTTTGGAAACTCTGGCCGACAGTAACTACCTTCAATTCCTACTCTCATCGTTTAAGAACTTCCCATAAGACATCTTTAACAAATCAATTTATCTTCGAAATTAGAAGGTTAGCTAAATACTAGCATGAGTAGCAGGACTTGTTTCTCACCTTGACGTCACGAAAGCCCTTCACTAGTCTGGGTGTGTATTCACTGCGAAGAGCAATCCACCGAGTTACATATTACTATCTATTTGAAGTTTGAATAATAGGATCATGAATTGAAAGCCACTGCATTATACAACACTAACACAGTAAACTTGAAACTGAATTAAATGTCATTGATATGGCTAAACTTGGGGGGGAGGACTGAAAAAATGGAAGCGCCTGAGATATCACTGCCCCGTAAGTAACTCTACATCTCTATGCAGACAAAGTCTATGTTGGATAGCAGAATTTTGAACAATAGCCACAAAATTCGTGTTTACGAACGCTGAAACCACATCTCTTACCTGGATTTACGAAATATACTAAACATGGAAGATGATCTATGACCCTCTCCATGTCCAAGGCGTCCATTCAAGCTCGTTCCCCAGCTAAGCACCTCACCCTCCTCTTATATGCAGCAATCCCCAGCAAAGTATTTAAGGTAAAATTCATATCACTATGAGAAGAAGATTGCTATTACTCCCAAACAATAATGCAGCGTAAGACAGTAGAGCAAATTTCACATTTTGCTATCACAACGCGCCAGGGCCTAGGGTTTCGAGTTTATGAAATCAGAAGGCCAAGCCAAGCTGAAAGAATCAATAACGTTTATGCTCTGAGGAGAATGAAGTCATATAGATACCAGAAAACTGTCTCCACGTGCGGTACTAGGCATAGTAGGGGTGAGGATCAAAAACAATTTCCAAAAACTTCAATAGGAAAATAGAAGGATACCAGAAAGGGCAAGCGAGTGCTCAGCGCCAAGAGCTAATGCCTGTATACGAAAATCCTTTAAAGACTCCACCCACTGTGCTGCACACACTTTCCCCTTCCCTCCTGCCATTCCATGCCGTGCTACTCTCTCACAACTGATATGAACACCAGATTCACAAACGAACAGCCAATAAGATGATTTTCAAGAAATATCACATAGGACCATGCGAAATAATTTCTTACGTTTTCCAAGACCGAGCTGCCCTTGTGTGTTTCTACCCCACATGTAGACACGCCCATCCTCTGGCAACAGTTGTTGGAACTTTGATCAGCGAACATTTTATCCCCCAGAAAGCAGCAAGTTCGTAGCATACTGACCAGAGTGACAATCACCATCCATTAATATTAAGCTAATCGTTCTGTAGGGTATATATATATATATATATATACACACATACATATATAATTCCTATGTGTAATACTCAGACCTTTTGATGATTGCAAAAACAAACGACAACAGCAAAGGAAGAACATCAACTCCCAACAAGTTGATGCATGAGTAGAACTATCAAGCTTCCAAGTGGTAGAGGAGTGAGGACCAGAAATAGCAGCGGAATGGAAGTCCCCAGCTGCAATGTGCGTAAATTTGGCTTCATCTGGTAAACCCTCGACTTCCAAAAATTCCTATAGTGTAAGAGGAGGAATACTTAGTCCTGGCTCAGTTGAATATTCAAAACTACGGCATAGGTCATGTACTCTGTTGCAATATGTAAAGCAGTGAAGTTGATTAGACATGCAAGGATTGATACGCACCATAGAGTGACCAGTTGACAAAGGCAAGCCCAATTGACCCCAATCGTTCAGTCCTGACGCGTAGACACGACCTTCCTCTGTTGCAAATCCGGTGGATCCACCTCATTAGTTAAAATGCTCGATTCGAACCCAATCCCAATTGTTTGAGCAAGCCCATGAATTTACACTGGCTCTTTTACTACATCAATGAATACTTTTACGCTTAGATATCGAATCTCTAAACAAGATGCACATAATTTCTCAAGCATTCGCTCTGAGCATATTGTCACCGTAAATTTGACTCCTTCAATTCAAGTACTACTCATGAATCTTTCCTTCAACGAGATTGGAAACATCATACTGAGAGCACTAGGCACATTCTTCTTATAACAGATACCCATCACGAACCTAACATGCAAATTGGATGGTATGCCTACTAATACAAGGAAGAATTGGGGTTTTCGGAAACAACGGAAGGCAAAAAAGACAAACCCGTAAGAACAAGCGTATGCGCACCGCCACAAGCCAAAGCAATAGGCTGCAAATGTTGCATACTCTTGCAGACAGTGGGTTCCCAGAATGATTCACCCGAAGCCTGACCCAGGCGCCCATAGTCTCCATTCCCCCACAACGCCACCCATCTATGCTTGTCTCCAATTCCCGACATCCTCCTTTCCTGAGATCCCCATTGCTGCCTCGCAGTCGCGACAAGACCACCTCGAAGGGGCCTCACCGCATGACGCAACAACATCTCCCAATTTTCTCTACACGACGATCTCCCAACTCATGCTTCAGATCCTACTCATTCAATCCACTTGTTTTCAAAATTCAGCCATACCCACATGCCCCCTAGTCATCATTGCAACCTACGTCACCAACACAGAATTTCACTGACCTGACGAAGAATCTGGTCCCCAAAATCCACTGGGGAGTTTGGCAGGAAAAGCAGAATTCTCAAAGCATCTGGTAGTGATCAGCCCAAAAAAAACGAATGATACCTTCAAATTTGTCAAGTGAGCTAATTTTCACTTCACTTGACAAGCACCTGTCGAATTGGCCTTCCTTCCTCGCAGTTTTCATCCGAAAGAGTGACGTGGTCACTGTTTCGGATGAAGCATAAGCTGGATCACACTTGTACCACTCCACTGATTCCACCTCACTATTAGGTTTGTGGTTTGAAGTTGCACATTCGTCAAGACTTCACAACAATGTATCACGAGGTAATTGCACTTCAGATGGCTGCCTGTGCTGTCAGATTCAAAAGCTTTTTGAGCTACTTTGTAGAATTTTTGTCAGCATCAAAGCGAGGAGGTTTATGAGGTCTAGGGAATTGAGAGCACGGATCTCTGGCAAAGGCAGGCACCATTGACGTTTTCGAAAGAGAAGGCAGGGATTCCAGTTGGAAGAGTAGGTTTTGAGAGCGAAGGAGTACAGCCATCACTAGCCTGCGCTCAATGCTGCAATTCGGAATAATCGTGTGCTCCACGCAACAGGGAGATGCTTGAGTTTGGGCTTCATATTGGAAGCAGATAGACTATAGTGGGAGTGCCCTCAGCCGTCAAGTGTGGTGGCATGGGGGCAGCTGACTCCAAGCTCCCCACGCAGGTATAGTCCCTACGATCAAGTGTTCCTTGTTTAGCCTCTTCAGGTTTGAAACCCAATTCTCCTACTATTAGGGTTTTGGGTCAGGACTTGCGTTTGTCTGTGTATTGCAAGTATAGCTGCTCCGGGAATTTCCAAATATCCTGGGATTTGAGCTGTTGTTTTTGGAATTTGATGCGGTATTATCGTCGACGTTGATCGATGGGGGTTGAGCCACCGAGATCGTATTCTGGGTTGACGAAAACTCACTGAACGCTCTAAATTGGACAGCCATTGATGGCTTGCATCTGGTGGATATAGGGTGTGGTGGATTCAATAGAGACAATCAAAGGTGGACGAAGTGCGGAGGGATTGGATCCTTGTATAGAGAGGCTTCAAAACCTAAGTGTTGTAAGTACCTCTCGACCTTACTAAACCTCTTGGCTCCGATTTGAGAAGTTGAATTTTTATTTGCAGCCTAGACTGCATTCTCGATATTGACAAAGATTGGTCATTGGCCCGAACTTACATCTAATTAAAATAATCGACGTTGTTTACAGCGTGCATGAAAGATGCGCAGTTTTCTCTTTTTACGCTGCGTTAAAAAGGCCCAACACAAGAACATCTTTAATGTGTCGCTGTAAACACTCTGTAAGCAACGTAGATTCGGCTACTTAAACTTGTCATTCTGCAAGAAGCTCATGGGAATGTCCTTTATGTCCTTTACTTGGTGGGCAGGCAGAGCCTTTGTTGAAATCGCCGGTGGGGGAGAGCAGTTTGACGGACGTCTTACTGGAGCGGAACTTTCCTCAATCTCGATCTGTTGATTATGGTCGGTTACCTGCTAACATAACCAATCATATGGCGGACTAGAGCATTGTATTTTTTTCGTTACTGTGTATGATCTAGAAATTGTGAATCTACTTATTTGAGCATATTCGAAATGGTGCTTACTGAGTAGAATGGGGTTGTGCTGACTTTTCCTGAAGCCTTCGAGTTTCATGCTCACTTTGACTTCGTAGTGATTTAAAAAAATTCCCAAGTTCAAGGTATTGCCCTAATCATGTCACAGGTCGAGGCAAAAAGTACTGAAAAAACTTCTGATGTGCTGGTTGTTGTGTGAATAGGATCATTAGATGCAACTACTACTGCACAATTGCTATCTTTGTACCAGGAGTGGCAACGCCTCACTGCTGACCAGGTCAGCAAGAAACAGGTATTCTTATTCCTGCAAACATCTCCTTGACAAGGTTAATCGATGCTCTGTCTTTTTACAACTTTTTTTTTGTTGGAATAAATGCTATGGTAATCGAATTTTCGATATACTAAAAACGGTACTGAAATTGTAAAATCACTTTAGTGGTTTCGAAATTAGCTGTAAACTTAATCAGATTGAATGTATTTTTTCTTTTGGGAATAGGAAGAAATAGGTTTCAAGATAGATGCAGTGGAAGCAGTTGCAATGAAACTGTTGCAACGACTTAATTATTCAGCTTCAGTCATGAAAACTAGTGCTGCAAGCCTTCAAGATGGTACGTTTATATTCTTATTCCCCGGTTTCACATGAAATCTTATTCCGTTTCTCTTTCTTAAGGTGTCAATTACAGCAAGTCTGTTGAAGATTAATAAGTGTAAAGACTGCTGAGTAAATGATTCGTGTCTTCTTTGTGTATCTTCAGTGCAGTACTTGAAAGTTGAGGTACTGGAGATGAAGAAGGCACTTAACATCGTTCTTGAAAAGTATGAAGCTCTTTGCAAGCGGGTTGAACAGCAAGGTCCTGACTTTCTTTCTGGCCCAACTCGAGCACCTGCATTCACCGCCCTTGGCACAGAAATTTCGTTAAGTGAAGCCTTACAACAGATTTTTAGAACTGGTTCCAGTATGGTTGATTCTAAACCTCCTTAACAAATATTCATTCACAGTAACCATAGTATGAATAAACGACTCTCTTACAGTCAAAATGCATTGAAGTGTGTTCGAGGTGTGCAAGCGTATCATAGAAATTCCAGTTTGGATAAATTCGCGAGAAGTTTATGTTGCAAGTGGAAATGCAAGACAAGGCAGCTTATGCATGAATTTCTGAGATGTATAATCAGATACGAGCTTATCATTGCGAGCCATGAAGGGCTCCCAAGGCATCCGTTTCAGTGTAAGAACATACTCTATCCAATAGATCATAAGATCATTCTGCATTGTTTACTATCTGGGTGCTGTCGTTCAATCCTAGAATTTTCTACCTGCGACAGAGAGTGCGTCAACATGTTTAATTCTAAACAAATGAAGGGGATTTTGTGCATCGTCACTCTGTTGAAAACAGCGAAAGTCTGAGCTGTCTCGTTCATTTTCTGCGGAGTAATGGCTTGCTTCTAATCTTTCCGAAAGAAACACTCAAGCCCTTAAATGATGGAATAAACAGTGTAGGTCAAGTGCCTTAGTCACCAGGTGAAATGGGTTACTTTGAAGAGTAGAAGCATAAAGTCAGGTTGTCAAGGAAGTACCGCAAATTGAAGAGGCATTTAACTTATTCGACTTAAAGTCAAACGAAGAGTTTTCTATCTAAAACCTGGAAGGAGAGAAGGATTGAACACGTTGTTGTGCTATTTCATGCACCAAGCGTAGCCTTAGCGGATGGGTAGGAAGAATTTTCAAATTTGGATGAATTTGTGAATTGATTGTTTTGATTAATTTACTCAATTAAATCTGGATAGCCATTCAAAAATGATCTTTGATCAGGTTCAAAGATTTAATACATGTATCACAACAGAGGCATTATAGTAGGGAATAGAGCAAATATTTTCTCTAATGTCTTTATTTTCAATTTTTGGGGAAACCAAAAATAATTTGTTCAAATGTTTTTCAAGCTAGAATTAGATTTATAACATAGAATAGATTGTTAAGTTATTGTTAGGTATAAAAGGTACTAAGTAAGAGGTACAAGGTAATAAATAAGAAGTGTGTTGGGGATGAAGGGATGTTGGAATAGAAAATTGTGAAATAGAGATATTAGATAATGGCTACAAGGTCACAAAGTAACTTGAATGGTGTAAAATTGCAACCATGAAAAATTGGGTTATAAGCTATGGTAATATAAGTGAAAAGTAAAAAGTTACAAATTTAGACATCAAAATTAGAGGATGTAAGTTGAAGTATAAAATATTATTTTATACAAAAAAATAAAATTAATTTCATCTAAATCTAATTTATACTTTATTTATTTAAAAATATTTATATATTAATTTGTACTAAAATTATATTAATTTTTAGTTAGATATTTTAGTATAAGGTAAAAAAATCAAAAAATATAAATAGTCAAATATATATATATATATATATATATATATATATATAAGTTAAAATGATCCATCCATTTGTCACTGACACAGAATACAGACTTGATATCTACCAAGAAGTTCAAGGAGAACTGGCAAGAACTAGATTAATCAGATGAATACAAGAACAACACCAAAGAGGTGAGCTAGAGCTCCAAGAGATGTGTTGTCGAGACTGAAGAACTCTTCAGCCTCGATCCCAATATATACTCCTATTTAGGAAGCTTCTCAAGCAACTTCTACCAACTAGGAAGCTTCTAGAAGGTTCCAGAGACTTGCTTCTAGAAGGTTCTAGAAGCTTGTCTCTAGAAGGTTCTAGAAACTTGTCTCTAGAAGGTTCTAAGGTCTATGTCCCTCACATCACCCCCTCCTTTAGCTTCAAGGTCTCTAAGAAGCAATGTTGTTGTCAATCAGTACCAACGAAAGAAAATGAAGATCTATCGCATAACGTCTGCTATGAACTCCAATTGTTGTTCATGAGGCAAGTGGTTCATCGGCCCTTGAAGCCAACGGTAGTGGCCCACGCCTTCGACTTCTGACCAAGCATGAACTTCCATATCCTCATTGTGAAATTGTCCTACAAACACACCTTCTGGCTGACCATCGTAAGCAGGCTCGGACACAAATACAATCACCAGTGATCGGTTACTTGGTATCCTCCGTCGTCGTCATGGTATAGGTGGTTCTTCATCTCGGGGTCGCCTTCATGAGCTAGTCGGTTGAGATAATGTGAGTGGCAAAGTATCTATCTCTTGGCTATCCATATCAGAAGACCAAACTATGGCTACTGAAAAAATTCTATTTTATCTTGGAGAAAATAACTACATCAACTACGAATTTTGGTGAAGCTCTCCTCCTTTCTTATATTCTTGGGTGACCAAGCTTCAGAAGGAAGCTATCTTCGAACCGGCTTAGGTTTATGAAGATGTTGTTGATGAAACTCTTGTACCTTTTGGGGCGCATTGGCAAGATTTTCAGCTGGCTCCCATGTTTGCTCATTAATGTCGTAGCCGCACCAATGAACACGATACTCCAACTTGCCCCACCTTCGTTGTGAATCCAGCACCTTTTCAACCTCATATTCCTCATGGTTCTTGATCTCAATACTAGGTGGTCGACATTACACTCTTCCAAGAAAAGACGACTCTCGATGAGGCTCCAACAGAGAAATATGAAAGACAGGATGTACCTTCATAGAAGCCTGTAATTCTAGATGGAATACCACTGAATTGATTTGCTTCTGGATGATAAACGGTTTTAATCTTCGATAGTCCAACTTATCACATAGTCCCTTGGTCTTGATATTCTATCGAAGAAGCCATGCTTTATCTCCAATTTTGAAAGTAGGTGCTTGATTTCGAAATCTATCTGTAGATGCTTTGTAGGATTCTTGAGCAGATTGTAATTGAAGCTTCAACGTATTTTGAAGCTCTGATAGTTGTTTCGAAAATCCTTCAGCTGTTGGATTGTTATTTGTTGACGGACTCAATAAATCAAGCTTCGGATGATACCCTTAGTTAGAAAACAATACTGTGTATTGAGTCGACGCATGGAGGGTGTTGTTATATGCAAACTCAGCTAGCGACAGATATGTGGTCCAATTGTCTTACTGATAGTTGATGCTACATCATAAGAATTGTTCCAGGACTTAGTTCATCCGTTTTGTTTGGCCGTCAGTTTGAGGATGAAAAGTCGAAGAAAGCTTCATATCCACCTTCAGTATGTCAAAGAGAGATCTCCAAAACTTTGATACGAAGTGGGTTCCTCGATCTGATACGATATCATCTGGTAGTCCATGATATCGATACACATTATCGAGAAAGAGCCTTGCTGTGACTTCATTGGACGATGTCTTCTTGCAAGGGACAAAGTGCGCCATCTTTGTAAGCCAATCTATCATGACAAAGATGCTATCAAATGAGTTCAATGATGGCAGGTCCATGATGAAGTCCATGGAAATTAAAGACCATGGTCGACGTGGAATCGGCAATGGTTGTAGGAGTCCATAAGGGCGATGCCGAGGATTCTTGGATCTTAAACAGATGTCGCAAGAGAGGACAAAATCTTTTACATCCTTCCACATTTGGGGCCACCAAAAATCTCGAGAAATAAGCTCCAAGGTCTTGTTAAATCCAAAATGTCTCGCAGTTGGAAAATCGTGGCGAGATTGAAGAACTCGGAGTCGTGCTTGTTCTTTTAGGATATATAATCGCTCCTCAAAGTATAAAAGATCTCCCTCCACCTTGAACTTGTCCTCATTGGCATGCTGCTTAATATCAATGGCTACTGAATCTTCAATGGTCATAGCACGTACCTGATTCAGGAAGTCAGCATCAATTGGCACAATAGTAGCGCAAAGCTGAAATTACTCTAGCTTCGACAATGTCGTACATTGTTGATCAAACGCTGCTTCTCCAGCCTTTGGTACAAGACAGGATCTCTTTGATAAGGCATCAGATAGTCCTTGCTGCTTTCCAGGTCGATAAGTGATAATAAAATCGAACCTAGATAGCAACATACTCCACCGAGCTTGACGTCGATTTAGAACTCGAGCTGACATGAAATACTCAAAATTCTTGTGACCTGTGTATACGGACACTGAGTGTGTAGCTCTTTCAAGAAAGTGATGCCATTCTTGGAAAGAATCCACTATAGCAAGAAGTTCCTTATCGTGGAGGTCATAATTGATTTCAGCAGCAGAGAACTTTCGAGAATAAAATGCAACTGGATGGAGCTTCTTGTCTTCTCCCATTTATAAAAGTACAGCTCCCAAAGCAAAATCCGAAGCATCAGTTTCTAGATAAAAGGACTTTGTAAAGTCTAGATGTTCCAAGATTGGAGCCGTAGTAAATGCCGTCTTCAGGTCTTGAAATGCCCTCTCTGCTAGATGTTCCCACTCCAGCTTATCCTTGCATGTCAACCGAGTGAAAGGAGTAGCAACTTGAGAGTAATTCTTGATGAAGATTCGATAGAAGTTGGCAAAACCAAGAAAGCATTGTACGTCTCTAACCGTCTTCGGAACCTCCCAGGACACGATTGCTTCCACCTTCTTGGGGTCCATCTTCAAGCCTTCAGTAGTCGCAACGAATCCCAAAAACTCCATCTCTATTTAGTGAAATAAATACTTCTCCAAGTTGGCATATAGTCCTCACTTGCATAATTTCTCCAAGACCAAACGAACGTGCTTTTCATACTCTTCCTTGTTTTTGGAGAATATCAAAATATCATCCAAGTAGATGACAACAAAATCGTCAAGGTGCTTCCAAAAAATGTCATTCATCATATGTTGGATGACTGCTGGAGCATTGGTAAGACCAAAGGGTATGACATTATACTCAAAATGGCCATACCTTGTACGGAACGCTGTCTTCCACTCATCTCTTTTGATTTGTACGAGGTTGTAAGCTCCCCTTAGATCAATTTTTGTAAAGATCCTTGCACGTCCAAGTTCTTCTAAGAGACCAAAAATCAAGGGTAACGGGTAACGATTCTTCTTTGTTACCTTGTTGAGGCCTCGATAGTCCACGCACATCCGCAACAAGCCATCTTTCTTCTTCATAAATAAGATGGGTGCTCCAGCTGACGATTCTGAATGACGGATGAAGTTCTTGGCTAGATTCTTGTCGATGTACTTCCGCAACTCCACCAACTCCATCTGCGATAGATTGTAGATTGGGCCAAAAGGCGGTTGTGTTCCTTCCTGTAAGCCTATGGCGCAATCATATGGTCGGTGTTTCGATAGCATGTTGGCATTTTTCTTTTGAAACACGTCTTTAAAATCCATATATTGCTCAAGTATTCTTGTTGTCGAGATCTTCTCCCCGGTAGTTGGAGCTGCATAAATGACAAACGGTGTGCCTTCCTTAGTCGA